GTCATAATATTTAAAACACAACGCGACCTACTCTCGCATTCATGACTCACCCACACAGTGACCATTCGGTCAACCGATGGACCGAAAGGGCTGGCAACACTCATTCTTTGCGTAACATAAGACCCGACGTTTGGGAAAATCCTTGTCTAATGTTGATCAATTATAAGTAAATTTAAACAAATTCATGACTCAGTTTTACTTATACGATACACATTTAAATTTTAAATTAACATATATCACCACGCCTTTTATCCCTGAAGGGGTAGGCAGAGGTGCACATTACGGCACTTATAGCCACTGTATAATGTAACACCCACTTTTCAATATTTGTGATATGAGTTCCATGTAATTTCCAGACTCCGTGCAATTTAATAATAATCCCAGTAATACTTTGCCTGACCCGGGAATCGAAACCGAGACCCCTTGCTCGGCAGTCACACTTGCGACCACTCGGTCAATGACACATTTAAATAAAATTATGTACAATACTGTGTTTTACATCATGTATACATATATAAGTTCTTAACAAAATTCTAATAGGCAGCTTTAATTGTGATCATAAGGAACTCGTGTGCAAATTAGGTACTAAAGGTTCTAGGTTCTTCCCGGTTTTTTAAAAACCTTACGCTAAACAATACACTGACACATATATTTTTTTCAATAGAAGAAACTGTTTCAATTGATCGTAATGCCCTTTGGTTTTCCCGATTTTGTGGTTGTATTGTGTTTGAATAACACTAGCCTCGTTGGTACCTATTTAATATCATTCTAGCCTAGATTGATAATATGTATAGAAACATGTTAATAAACTGTATCTATTCGGCTGCTGGTCCTCTGTCAGACAGTACCAGCGAATATTCCTACACTCTATATTAATGAATACAAAAAAACAGAAATTATCCAATTTAACTCGTCGAGTACCGGTTTTGTAGACACAATTATAGAACAATAGGTTGCGGTCACCGGTGACCGCTTGGTGTTTGACAGTTTAATACAGCCATTTAAGAGTTATGCACGTACAAATATACATAGGTACAAACATTTCAGTGATTAATTACTTATAAAATTAATTGTTAGAAAATTAACCCTTATTATGCATGTCAAAAGACTCATTTTAAACAAGCCATTTCCTATCCAATTAGACTCTGAAGAAAAAAATGCCGGAACAAACTCAGTCACTAATTAAGTATTGAGTATTAAACAAATGAGTATTGTAGACACACTTAGACATAATTGATCAATCTTTACTCAATACCATGTCGACATTTACCTTATATACTACAGACGTACTTATGCATATAGCTCAGTTAATTACTGTCTTGTCTATAATTATTCCTCAAACGAAACACTTACTTAGGTAACTCAACCAATGTACTGTCAGACTCATCAAGCTCTGTCAACAAGATTTTCTACTTTATATAAATGTCACAAAGTTCAAATTTCAGTAAGTAATGTGGTGTATGTTGTTGTACACAAATTCGATGGTCGTCAGATTCGGATTAGGGATGTACGGGGAAAATATCAGTAGCTATTTGAATAGATTTACTTGTTAACTTGAATTTATTGAAGTAAATTGATAATGTAATAGGTCTATTGACTTAATTGGAATTGAGACTTATTAATTATTTTATGAGGTTTATATTGTAATCTGTGAAAATGGTTCATTTCAATAATTTATTACCCACTTAGATATTGAACAAGTAATTTCTCATTTAACAACAATTATACGCCAATATAAATATAAAAAAAATATATAGGATCACTATCCCGTTAAAAAATAGAAAACGAAACGTAAATTGATGTATTTACAAACGAAAAATGAATAAAATTTAATAAATAAATCTAGCGTGTCAATTTTTATTTCCAATTGAACGAATAAAGCGCGCTAACCTTGACCAGGCGACCAAACATTATCCTTTTGTCTCAATTGGCCCGTAATTGTTGGGGACGTCTTCTATTCTCAGATACAATTTGCACTTACTCTTGTTGTCAAATTGCACCTTAACTGTTCGCTCCGTGTTAAAACATATTTCAACTTCACAGGACGAAATGATTGGATAACATGGTCGCCATACCGACAGATCAACCTGATCGATTTAACTTTGTAATGAAGTACACGAACAATTAGGTACAATAGTTACATTTTGTGATTTCGCCCATGCTCTTAGAATGCGATTTCGTTTGTAAGGACAAATGCGATAACGTCACACAAAAATGTGTTAACAATCTTAACGTTTCCAGCCAAAATCTAAAGCCAAAACGAAATTAGTCAATTATACTTAGTCATTGGGATAATAATTAATGCTTAGTGAATGAATAGCGTAAATATTTTTGTGCTGAGTGTGCAGTCTCCGATGTGTGTTATATGTGATGTGCTTGAAAACTGCATGGAGCTCCACGTGGATTATTTTTATAACTAACCGCTAACCACAATAGTCACGTTTACAAGAAAACTAAAAAATCCAAAGATGCCTAAAGGTAAGTGCTACTTCGTATAAAAACAGTTGAATGTCAACGGTAAATAATGTTCATTATACTATGCGTTAGTCATTCCCATCGAAACTATTTTCCTCATGATATATATACAAGATGTTGCGGCATAGGTAACCATACCTATTAATTACCATTTTGAAATTATGATAATTAAAAGAGTTTCAATATGCAATACCTAAGTATTATTTGCATTAATCAGCTGGTACTGAATTTAAGGAAATCTAGTGTTCATATTCCTCTGTATGGTTGGTGGAATGTTTATAATTCCTGGTGGCTCACGTGTCCGCATCTCGTGACATCACCGCCTCTAAACAGCACCGCCAACTGCTGATTTCAAGGCTGACAATAATCAAATGTAACTAATCCAATAAACTCAGTGATAAAATAATTAATCAACCACATGTCTAATTCACCTCGCTTCGATGCAATAACCAATCAATCGAAGAGTTTCAGAACAATTGAAGTGGTTTTAACAGACATATTATTTGATGCATTGCGCTCACCTGCCCACCTGCTTCTCAAAACAATCTCGTTCCAAATAAAACTTCTCATTTAATTAAACTTTTTGAGCGCTCAAACAAATAGTGGCGCAGTAACAAGTAATATTTCCAGAAGACGTAAATCTGACTGCTGCTTATTGTTTCAGCTATAATGAATCACTATTGTTTATAGATATCTTGTTCGTCTTTTCATCTCACAGTTTGATACTTTGAGGTCGTGAATCAAGATTTATACTTCAATTCCACCTTTGCTCGATTATTGAGAGGTTTCATGAAACATATTATTTAATGTAGGCACAGTAGAACAAAATATAGTCAGTTGTACCACATACATATCGATGTAGGTACACGTATACAGAAAATAAAAGATTCACACCGAACACATTTTCCAGAAGTTTTATTTTACTGAACGAAAAAGGTCACGAAGCGAAGTGTTGTAGTCGTGAGCGTGTGAAAATAAAGAAGGTTGAGATATGAGATAAGTTCTATTTCTACCTTGGAGACAAACGAGAGGAACGACCAACGACCAACCTCACCTCACTGCAGATAATTTGAAGAGGAACAAGATGGTTTCATGAGCTAGGCTTGTTAAAGACACGACAAAATATTTGATGAAACGATTTTGCTATTAGGGCCGTGTCGCACGCACCGCTTGATTGGTCGTCTCCCGTTTCACAGTTGACGCCACTTGAATCAATGAAGTGCTATTGGCTCATTGTTTAATCGTCTGTTTTATCAGCTGTAATGAACATACCGAGATGTTCGTGCATGCGACTCGTTAAGGCACCCAATCATGATACACACAGTGCCTACGATACACGTTCGAGTATTGTTTCTTTCTTTGCAAATGTGCGATTTTTACTCGCTTTTCCAAGAACCTGTTTGTTTTGATGTCTAAACTAACGTAACTGTTTAGCTAATTAAATCCTACAGATTTGATTCGGTTTTAGATTTTCTAATTTCGTAATCATTTCGTCTTTATACGATTTATTTTTGAATCAGTTTTATGCCACATGTGCTTACAATCTCATGAAGGTAATCGACGACCCCATGTGTTGTTAAGTTTAAAAAATCTGAAACGTATAGGATAAACGAACACAAAACTTCTTTATTTCATTCTATCTGTAACATATGAAAATATCTTACGTGTACGTCACACTTCGTGTCCCAGTATTGGATAAACTGTGATTGCACTCTCGTAGAATTGTACGACAACATTTTACAAAACATTTTCTGTGCAAGCGAATGCATTAAAAGAACAATAACATTGGCTTGATTGGCGCGCCTCGGGCGTCGCTTCTGCGGCCCGTGCTCCGTGCTCACATCTCTATTGATTTTGGAACAATTGTGCACAAACGTCACTGACCCTGGAGTATTGTTGAACATGTGAATAGTGAACTATTGCACCACTTCGGGGTTGCCGTTACGTTCAGCAGTCTCCTACTAATGTTGACTTCAATAGAATTTGTTATTACGTATTTGAACTAAATGTTTTGTTGGGAACACGCGTCGAGTTCGCGCACTTTCGCAACTATTTATAGTTAAAGGAAAAGTATTATAAAAATTGTGACTAATGTGGACATAATGTGAGTCAGTCTGTAATTATAAGAAAATAAATATAACACTGCAATAGCGGTGACTGTGTTCTTGTGAAACGTCTGTTGTTACTTCTTACGTGCAACGACACCGGACGGGATGCATTGGGTTCCCAGTTCGCACATGTAAGCGCTCAAACATCTGTTCTTGTGTCCACAAGCCGGAACCGATCTACGTCAAAGTCTTCATCATTTATTATTGTCACGTTCCCAGTGGACGGGAAATAATAGCAAATGGGATTTATGTGCTGGAATTTATTGTTGGTTTAGGTCTGTGTGTGGGGCGTGCCATTTGTATAGCCGCATCGAATGTCAACTTCTGAGACGATCTAGACACATTTGTTCCTCGTGACAGGAGCCCTTGAAAACTTGTACTTATTTCTTTGATTTTAAAAGTCAATTTTGTCCACAGGCGACGCCGATATGTCGCTGAAGCAGGGCAGCGGCACCGGCAAAGTCCATTTCGGTGGTTTGGACGATGTGTCCTTGTACGGCACGCCAGTGGAACCAGCGCCGCCGGCGACGGACGCCAAGCAAGGCTTCCTGCGAAACCAGCTGCAGGCACTCTTCCAACCCACCGACAACAAACTAGCCATGAAACTCTTCGGCTCGAAGAAGGCGCTGATGAAGGAGCGCATCAGGCAGAAAGCAGCCGGCCACTGGGTTATACATCCGTGCAGTAGTTTCAGGTGAGTGACTTTGTGTAAAGTACGTACTACATAAACGTATACTCTTTATAGTTGTTGTAAGCCTAGTACTTATGATTTGATTGGTGGAGAAAATACGATTGTAACCACGTGTGATTTCCATACCAAACATGATTTTTCAACCGCTTTCTTTACGAACCACTACTTCTACCACTTCGTAAAAAATCATCAAAACTTAAATTTACGGTTTCAGTCGTATATTAAAAAAAGTAAATGAACAATAAATTACTCAATAGGCACGTAATCACACGCTTAAAGAGCTTCAGATGGGTTTTAAATCCGCAATACAAACGACAGTTTCGTAAATTAATTACGGTTTTAAAAAGCCATCAATAAAGTGCTTGAATGTTGTAATTATTACCGAACGAAGTTCTTTACTAGATATTAATGACCGATATATTAATATCTTGGAGTTAATTGTTTACTTTAGTTTAGCATTGGTAAGTGTAACAGTCAGGTATTTTTACTCGCGCCATCTTTGACGACTGATCGTAATTTTGACGTAAACTCAGGCATGTGCGTTATGTTCGTCCGTAATGTTCAATGTCAAGTCTTATACTCAAGGATATAATATGCTTTGTAATAAAGAAATTACGTTTTCATTTGATTTTATTTGAAAACGTTCCTTTGTGTTGTTGTAAACAAAGCAAAGAGTAAAGAGTGGTTTTTATTTCTTTTTTTTTTAAGTTTGTTCTGAATTTGTATTTCTTCTATTAGTTTATTATACGGCCTTAAGTATTACCGTTTTTCAAATTCGTCCGAAAAAATTATTTGAAATTTAATAATAATTGTAAATCCACGGCAATGGAAATATAATTATATGTACACCATACATGTAATGTAACAATTTTCTTATCATGAAATAAAGAAAGATGAATCTAGGTAGGTATTCAATGAATATTTTTTCTTAGCTTAGAACAATTACGGTATATATTTGAATAAATAAGTCTTTAAACTAACATAAATCTTTCTAGCATAAAAAACAGGTTCAAGACGAAATAATGTGGAAGAAAATTTGAATTAGGCTCCAAAGCAAACCCGACTAAATAGAGTTATACGGTCCAATTTGAATAAAATGTAATATAAATTAGGAATTATTGTAATCTGTTTTCAATATTTGGTAGGTAGTAGAATACTATAATTTCCATAATTGTTATTTTTTTTACTAACACAGACCATGTTATTAATTATTTAGTAAACAAGAGTGTACCAATTTAATGATCATTACACTAATTACTGGAAACGATTATAAATAAATTTCAGCTTAATAAAACTTTAAATAATTATGTAATTAGCGCATTAAAACATTTGATAAAAAAATAGAACAAAAAAGTACATTCGATTGAAGGTTGCGTGAATAAAACAAAAAAATATTATGGACATGTTTTATCTCATTCTTTTCCTTCTACACACGAAATTGCAGAAACCGAAAGTGATGAAACAACACTTATCTGAATCATTAACCCACAACAAAATGCAATTCAAAGAAATTATTTTCAAATTAACAAAAAGTGGAGGAAAATCCGGTGCACAAACGAAACAAACCTTTATATCATATTTTAAATCGCATTTTTACAATTAACACTGCACAATATGGCCGCTAGTATTATTGAGATGTATCACAAAAGCTAGCCGGTTATTTTAACTACTAAACGTAGCAGTTAGTCATGTAGTTCATATACCGATCATTTTGTTCAGCGAACCGTTCACAAAGTGTTGAATACACAATTACATAGAGCTGTTATCTCATTGTCAGTTGACATTTGCTGACTGTACTTAAAACGGAGTATAGGTATTTTAAAGTTCAAGTTAATTACCTGTTTGCAACATCTAATAATCTGGGTTTAGTGGCTTTAGTCCCCAACGCTGGCCTCGCGTTTGTCAAATTTGTAATCGAGTACGCTCAATTTTTTCGTTGACACAACTAGGGAAGTTAATTCATTGTTTTGTGATGTAAAAAGTGTATATATCTTCTTTTTTGATAATTTTCTTTAAATATAACGTGTATACAACGAGGTCTTTTTTAAAAGGGTTAACGCACTTGTATCACTTCCGATTTTGTGAGTGTCCTTAGGCGGTATTGATTACTTTTAAAATGATCCGTCGCCTCATTTGCTTACCATTCCATGAAAAAAGTAATTAACTAAACTAATTTTAATTTGGAACAAAATAACTCACTAATGCTGTACAAAATAATGGATATTTACATAACATAACATCACGCCTTTTATCCCGAAGGGGTAGGCAGAGGTGCACATTATGCCACTGTACAATGTAACACCCACTTTTCACTATTTATGTTACAAGTCCCATGTAATAAGGGGTGAGCCTATTGCCATATACCGGGCACAATTCCATACTCCGTGCTACTACTGAGTTTTTTTTTAAACCCAGTAATACTTTGCCCGACCCGGGAATCGAACCCGAGACCCCTTGCTCGGCAGTCGCACTTGCGACCACTCGGCCAACGAGGCAGGTAATGGATATTTAATTTCTAACAATTACTGGCTATCATAAACACTACCTCCCACGCAGGCATACTTGTTAGAATATTTAACGTATTTTATTTGGAAGATTTTTTTCAAAAGCAATTTTGATGAAATTCTGTTTTTTGAAAACCTATTTACGAAATATAAGCATGGCAGAATATTCCAAAATCATGTACAACATTTCTTTTGCGTACATTGCCCCACACTAGGATTTTCTCCTGTATCCAATGTATACACATAGCACCCAGACCCAGAACAACAATCTGTGGACCACACAAAGAGTTGTTCCGTGCAGACCTCCTTTACACTGCGACTTCCAAGCTACCAGCCAAGTAGGTAGAACTTAAGATTATGGCAATCTCTCTTTTGTAGAATCCTAAACCCTGTGGACTGTGCATACCCGTTGATGATGATAGTCGAGCAAAAGACTTCCAAGAACTGTTGATGATAATGATAATGTGTAAAAATTTCACCACTACGAAAATATATACTACTCCTTATCAAATGATACTTCCCATAATATAATACTATACTTAACATATTCAATTAAATTCATTTAGCAACAGTACAAACATAATACGGTAAGTAACCGTAAACAATGAGCTATAATAACTGGGCTAAGCTTTCCTTTTGTAACACTAAATGACAGTATAATTTATGACCTGCGCTCCATTTCTGAATTTATATTTTATAGCCAACACATATGGTGTTAATATATGCCAGGAATATAGTCTTTATGTCTGTAAATGAAGTGAGAAATGAGGTTTTAATCATCATCGGCTGGTTCTAAATCATTATTTTATTATTAGATAACATAATATAAAACAAAGTGGCTATCCGCCGTCTGTTTGTCCCTATGTATTCTTAGATCTTTAAAACTACCTACGCAACGGATTTTGATGCGGTTTTTTAATAGACATAGTGATTCTTAAGGAAGGTTCTTATGTATAATACATGCATATTGCACCCGTGCGAAGCCGGGGCGGGTCGCTAGGAAACAATATGTCTGATAGATGAACATCATTGGGTTACTCCAATGCCTTAAAGCCTCATGGCCTCCTTCTTAAGTGAGGGTTTTCCATTGTCCCGGCGATGCTTGGCGGATGGGAGATTTACAAACATAACATCACGCCTTTTATCCCTGAAGGGTTAGGCAGAGGTGCACATTACGGCACTTGATGCCACTATACAATGTAACACCCACTTTTCACTAATTATGTTATGAGTCATATGTAATAGGGGGCCCATTGCCATATACCGGGCACAATTCCAGAAATTATAAAAAAATATATATTTCTAGAGATTTACTATTTCGAGCTATAGGTATAATTTACGCATATAATAAAGATTATTCTTATATATTTATCTTATATATTTATACTTCATTACGTTTAATACTGAAAGTATTCTAATCAAGAACTAGCCAGATCTTGACTACAATTTATCTACATTTCTTATAAAGAAATCAACACAAAAAAACACAATATTAGTAAAATATCCCAATTTAAACAACTGATACACTATTTCCCACTTTACAAAATCGCACCTCATGATAATATTAGACTAAATATAGGAAGTAGCTACTATAGGCTTGCCGCCTAGCGTGACCCGCGGCATGACCTCCAATGAACACTTTAACAAGCATTATTACCGTACAATATTATACAAGGCGTCGAACTCCAGTTTATGCGTGTTTTCTAGACCTTTCCCGTGCCTTTGACCTCGTCTCTTATGATGTCATGTGGGATAAGCTGCGGGAGAGAAAAGTTCCGGCTGAACTGTTACGTATTTTTCAGTACTGGTACTATAACCAGATAAATAATGTGAGATGGGCCGACAAGTTGTCGGTGCCGTATGGCTTAGAGTGCGGTGTAAGGCAGGGAGGAATAACCTCACCAAAACTGTTCAACCTCTATATTAACGACCTGATCGTTGAGCTCAGCAGTAAGAAAATCGGCTGTCGCATTGATGACTGCAGTATTAATAACATCAGTTATGCCGACGACATGGTGCTGCTGGGCCCAACGGTCAGGTCGCTCAGAGAGTTACTTGCGTGTTGTGAGTCCTATGCACAGACTCATGGCCTACTGTACAATGTTGCTAAGAGCGAATTCATGGTCTTTAAGGCGAGTGGTGGTAAATGTCCAGATTCCGTACCTGCAATTAGGCTTAATGGTAATGAACTAAATCGTGTTTACCAGTTCAAATACCTGGGTCATTACGTGACCGACGACCTTAGGGACCATGTAGACATTGAGCGGGAACGTAGGGCGCTGGCAGTTCGATGTAATATGCTGGCGCGCAGGTTTGCGCGTTGTAGCAAGGAGGTTAAAGTAACACTTTTTAAAGCATATTGTCAAGTGTTCTACACGTGCAGCTTGTGGGCCGGCTATACTTTGCGGACTATCAGCGCCCTGCGAGTCCAATATAATAATGGGTTCAGAATGTTGATGGGACTGCCCCGTTTCTGCAGTGCATCTGGCATGTTCGCTC